ACAGAGGTGCATTTGAAGTTTTACAATGATTTACGTTTCTGGAGATTACTCAGTGCTCTAGACAAGGCACAGCACAGAGGAAAGGGCAATTAATCAAATGTAGTAAAACTGATCCACTAAGATATTTCCTGTGCTGAAGGACTTATTGTAATAACTAAAGATTATTGTGACAGTTATTATGATGGTCATGGATAGAATTAATTTCTCCAAGCTTTAGACATAAAACCACTCAGTGTCTGGGCCAAGGCTCTTCACAGGTTTCCCCAATAGTCAATAGAGAGAGAGAGAAACCTTCAGGGATATCTTTCAAGACAGTTGTCCATTTCCAGTTCTCACCACAGATAATGGAGAAGCTTAGATTTTGCATAGGTACAGTTGAATAAGATAAAGCCTACCTAAAAATCCCATTTCTCCCTGAGTGTTTTCCATTTCCAAGATGTCAGAGATTACATTTTCCTTCTCACACAGAGTTTGGTGAAAGGGTACTGAGTTTGGGCTTTAGAGGATCAAGTGTGGAGAACTGAGTGAAAAAACCTGTGATGCTTTCTATGATTAAAGAACTACCTAGATGAGAAAGGGGAGGGCAGTGGATATTGTGTACCTTGATTTTAGCAACACTTTTGACACTATCTCTTGCAACATCCATATAGGCAAACTCAGGAAGTGTGGACTGGATGAGTGGACAGTGAAGTGGATTGAGGAGGTTTTATTTAGTGACACATTGTCTGGTTCGAGACCTTCACTGGTGCTGTCCCCCAAGATTCAATACAGGGCCCAATATTGTTAACATATTCATCAATGACTTGGATGAAGGGGTAGATGTCTCCTCAGCAAGTTCACTGATGACACAAAGCCGGGAGGGGTGGCCAATACCCCAGAGTGGTGTGTAGCCTTTCAGAAGGACCTCAACTGGTTGGAGAGATGGGCAGAGAAGAACTGTCTGAAGTTCACCAAAGACAAATGCAGGGCCTTGCACCTGGGGAGGAATAACCTCAGGCACCAAGGCAGACTGGGACTGGGAAGCAGCTTTGCAGAGAAGGATCTGGGAGTTGTCTGTGTGCCAGCAGTGTGTCCTTGTGGCCAAGAAAGCTAATGGTCTCCTGGGGTGCATTAGGAAGAGCATTACCAGCAGGTTAAGGGATGTGATCCTGCCCCTCTACTCTGCCCTAGTGAGGCCACATCTGGAGTTCTGTGTCCAGTTCTGGGCTCCTCAGCACAAGAGAGACACATTGTTCCTGGAGTGTGTCCGGTGGAGGGCTATGAAGATGATTACGGGACTTGAGCATCTCTCTTATAAGGAAAGGCTGAGGGAGCTGGGTAGGTTCAACTCTGGGTTGTGATGGCAATTTTGGACCACAATGGAATAAAGCTTTTTATGTGCTTTACTTACAATAAATAAAAGCATACTGAAGCACGACAGTTTCCAAGAAATTCAGTCTGCTCTGAATTCAAACAAGTTGCTGGAGGAAGTGCTAAGTCAACCAGTCTCCAAGACAGAAATTACATTTTCACTGCACATATTCAGAAAATATTTATGTATAATTACGTGATCAGTACTGCCCCTGATTTAAATTGCTTAAGTATCCCTTAAAAAATTATGCAATGAGAACATATGGAAGAAATGCTGTCTTTTCTCACCTTGGGTGATTGAAATTTTGAAGAATATTTCAGTCTCGCAGCCTGTCACTGCCATTCTGTGAAAGGGTCTGCTGGGCTTGGATCACACCACCGGCATTTTGCAAATGAAGACATTTTGGTTCCTGTACTTGATAGGGCAGGATAAGTGAGGTTATCTCATTTGCACTTAAGATCTAGCATCAGTAGGTACGCTTTAGCATCAGGAGAAATGATTGACATTGCTATAAGTCTTCAAGCTGTCATTCGTGGGGAGTGTTAGCTACTGAAACAGCTGTTCTGTTATCCACATGTACTGCAGGAGGTGTGCTATGAGTCAGAATTATTCTGATTTCAACAGGTACCTTTATCCTCCTTGGATAAAGTTTCATAGTCAGGAAATATTTTCTGGCACTTTCATGCTTCCAGTGGCATATTATATAACTTATGAAATGCAGACATCCAGTACTATCCTATCCTATCCTATCCTATCCTATCCTATCCTATCCTATCCT